GGGAGGCTGAAGCCCATCCTAGCAAGTTGTGTCTTCTGTTGGGTAAAACGTAAAGGAGAGAAATACTTCAAACTCTTTTTTATTACCTGACTACAAAACATCATATTTTTCTCACACCTGTATCATGATAATAGCTTCTCTCAACTCAAAAACACTGATGCGAGTAAGTTTTGAATAAAGCAGCATAAAGTTGAAAAGGGTTTATTTTAGTACTGATATATCAAACCATTGACACAAGAGGGAAGGACCATTTTTGACATTGTTGTCTTTTGAAAGTTCTTTAGAGAATATACTTCTGGAGGATTTTCTTTAGATTTGCACATTATTATTATATTCCAAGTTACATTTTATACACCTTCCTAACTTTTTCTTAATCTGAATGTATTATAATGACTTGAAAAATAACAATCAATGAACAGTTGTGTGCATTTATGAGGCAAGTGATGATTTTTATTATGAGAATATATGCTAGTTTTGACACCACATAATCAACATAATCATCTGTTATCAGATACGTTCCGTATAAACTGGAGAACCTGAACGATGATTGACCCTGTTGTTGTTCAGGGGACACAAACAGGGTCAATCACAGAAAAGAGAGCTCTTTGCACACAACTCTGGCCGTGGATTTGACTGGACGGACAGTAGCTCAGCAGTGAAAACCAACTGATAACGAAACTGTATTTGCACTATGTTGTTCTCAGTCCATTTATACAAAGGTTATATATAAAGTTATGCATTAGGTGAGTCTTTGGACACCACTCAGAAAGGCTGTCATCACCCTCTGACATTTACACATTCATCCAGAAAAAAGGCTTAAACTAAAATATCGACCGTTTATACAGTGAAAATAAAACTGCGTAAAGTTATCGAGTTGGCACAGAGAAAGAAATGTAGGGGAAAATAGAAAAGAAGCTAAAAAAATATATGAATATGTACATATATATTTTAAAAAATTTACCCTAGAAGTGTGCCAACTCCCCTTGGAGAATAGTCAGGTGCTTGTGGGGCTGGAGATGCTAATCAGACTGAACTGTGACTCTCCTTCTCACAGCTTTCCCACACTCTGCCCATTGACAGAGCCCCCGCTCAACAATAGACATGTGCCTTGTTAAATGCTAATTTATCCGCACACAAGCAGCTCCCGGTGATCGCTCGAGGGTCAAGTTTGTTGTATAGACAATAACTTTAGTCAGAGTAAAACTATAAAAGAAATGGCCCTAAATATTTTGACTGGGGTGTAACGGGGGTGTCGTTAACATCACCAACAAACAGAGAAAAATATTCAGATGTTGGTTTAAGATTTTCGCTTGCATATAAGTGACTGTAAAATTAAGGGATACTCTAATATTATTCAACAGTTATTCATTACATTCTTATGTATCTCTTGTATTTGACCTTTTTTTTGTAACAATTAGATATACATTTCTTTTTTGCAAAAAACATTCATCTAAAGCGGTTCATGAGTCAAAAGTTATCCCTTTTTTAATTCGTATTTGGGATGAAAAACAATGTAAAAAATTGTGTTATTTGTTTTGTTCAAGGTATGGCTCATGTAATAAAGTGCCATGAGAGATTTATATAATGTAATATTCCTTCCCTTTTAACAGATGCATTTTATGTATTTGTATATTTTTAAAATATAATCACATATAGTATTTGGTTAGACTATATATATACATAATTTTTCCCTATCCAACAAATTAACGGGAAGTATTTATGTATTTAAGTTGGATGTAAAAAAAAATTAACATCTGATCTAAATAATACATACATTTGTAAACATCATGTCAGAGCAATAGAAACCAGAGAAATAAATCTAGATGATCATTTTACCTGTTTTTCTGTTTTAACTGAAAATTGTTTTTCTTACAAGCCAAATATGAAATGATCATGCACATTCTAGTATTTTTAAAGCTTTGCTGTGTAAAATATGTAACCATTTAGAATCGGTAGTTAAGCCTTCCTCCCCCCCATCACAGACATCTTTGTCTAGTCTGCATCCATTGTCCCACGGGGGCTCTGTGAGAGAGTTTTCTCTGGTTTCCCACACTCCATTCACTGCTGTCAAGAACAAAAGAAGTGTGTCTGCTTGCACATCACATTAATTATGGAGTCAGTTTACGAGTTTTGTCTCACTGCGTCTGAATGGACATTCCTGTCATCAAGCCTCGTCATTACCAGGCTTTTGTAGAATGTCTATAAGGAATGCAGACATCCAAAGGATTAATGGACATTCAAAAGCTCCTTTGCCCCTCTTTTAGATTCAGATTGTTCCACTGCATTCCTGGCAGTTTATTTTGAGAGGAGGATGAAGGGGTGGCCATGCCCGAATTAATGAAGTGCTGGTTATTTAGCTGAATAATTCATTATTTTTTGTTAAAAATATATCTGATAAACCCACTTTCATTTCATTAAAAAAGTACTCTGCTGCATATTAAAATGTATTTAGACGTTTGATAAATAAGACAATTTTCTGTACACGCATAATAATATAATACTTCTTTCTTTAAATTATGTAGTTATACTGGGTAGGTCATTTTACTGTACTATATAAAGTGAAACTTTTGCATCAGTTTGACCAGAAAAATGAAAACATAATGGGTTTTATTGTCATTTTCCGTGGTGTGTGTCGGGTCGATTAGCGTGTGCTCAGTCGAAGTAATTGATCTCAGCATCAGGCAGCAGATCTGTTCTGTCTACAGGGTCAACACTTTCCCAGATTCACACAGAGCTCTGTGCATTCTCCCCCAACACCCTCCAGTTGTTCCCCAGAGATCTAACCATTATCCTTAAGGCAATAATACCATTCAGCGTCTCGCATCCTTTATTTTCTTGCAGCACACTCTGATTGGTCAGGACTGTGAGAAAGTCCAGGCACACCGAGACCCACACATTCATATGGAGATGTGGGACTATAAATAG